GGTCACGGGGAGAGCGTCCGAAACGTCATGCTTTATTTAAAATAAAATACTTGAACCGTTTAAAACGCTATTAAGACTGAAATACAATGTTAAACTCTAAAATATTCAATTATTAGCCAAAATTAGGCTTAGCCGACAAAATGCGCGTCAACGTTCGTATTTGACAGTTCCTGAGCTAGTGCGGGGACGCGCGCGGTTATCGCGTCGCACTAGTGTTGTCTCGTCCCCGCTTAGTCGGACTGACGGAGCGTCTGGCCATAGTTAAAACTAAATTGTAAATATTTTTTCTAATATGTTTCAAGGTTGAAACCGTTAAAAGTGTTTTATTTAAATGTCTACAACCAAAGTAAGCAAACAAGATACCTAAACTAACCTAGCCTAACCACAAAAAGTAATTAAAATGTGTTTTTTTTCAAAACAGTTTTGTCTTAGCAAAGATGGAAGTCAGAATATAGAATAATTTCTGTATTTCAAAAAGAAATATCCATAACTCGTGAAAGCTGTTTTTAGAAACAAGATTGTCATAAAAGGCCCTCGCAACATACAACATAGTATCGGAACACGAGAAATATACAATATTTTTATGCAAATCAAACACATCTACGAGGCTCTTTACCAAGCGTGTTATCATAGTACAAATATAGTGAAGCTTAACTCATGCGAAACTTAATAACATTATTTACGCATTTTTTTATGTTTAAACAAAGAGGTAAAGCAACATACCAGCATTACAACAATTATACAATTTAAGATGTGCTGTCGACTTATTATGGCTTTTTAGACATTATCTCACTGAATCCGAAACAGAGATGTACACTCTAGTTTACGCGAGCAGTACACTTTTAAATAAACCTCTTTAACGGTTTACAGCGCGATATATTTTAGTTAAACCTGTTTGAAAATTATTTTTAACTACGGCCCGACGTTTCGGATGCTTTGCAGCAGCCATCTCCCCGTGACCACGAGTTTTATTTAAAAGAGACCCTTTTCAAAAAATTTAATATACCCAAAACCCAAAAAACCCCCCCCAAAACCAATTTCTTCCATTAGACATAAAAATAAATGAAATCCAATGCATCGAAAAAGCCCGCGTCGAGCACCAAACTCACTTAATTCCATCCGACATCCCCATCGAGACACCCACACACCCCTCACAACTCTTACACCCCTCGGTTCGCACAGGCATCAGACACACAACATATAAAAACAACCTACACAAACACATCAAACCCGCGCCCCACGACATATACACAGACGGAAGCAAACAAGAGAACGGAGAAACTGGAGCAGCATTCATTGTCCACTCGCCTAACACACACTTAACCATACACACATCAAAAATTAAACTCCACCCCACGAGTAGCATTTTTCAAGCCGAACTCCTCGCTATTAAAGAGGCATGCAAATGGGCAACTAAAAATAATACCAGCTGCATCATACATTCGGACTCACGATCGGCACTGACGGCATTAGAACAAATATCCAATACCCACCCATTAGTTAGCAGCATACACCGGATATTACACCAAAACAAGCACACACAGATACAGTTCAAATGGGTTCGAGCCCATACCGGTATTGTAGGTAACGAGAAAGCAGATGCCGCTGCTAAAGCAGCTTCCAAAGCCCATAAGGCCCCTAATTTCATTAGTTGCCCCTTATCACATATAAAACACATTGCACGATTAAAATCCTACACCACTTGGGAAAAGAGGTACTTGGAGGAGCCCACGGGGGCAAGAACCAGGTCTCTCCTACCATCACTTAAAGACATACACAAACTAAACACGACACTTCCGGTTTCTTTCCACCTCACTCAGTTCGTCACAGGGCACTCGTACACAAAACAATACTTACACAGATTTAATATCACCTCAGATGACAAATGCCCCTGTGACAACACTAGCATCCAAACATTTACACACCTTATAAATGACTGCTCCAGGTTCTCCTCCCAAAGGCACGATTGCCTACAGGCACAAGTTAGGAACAAAACACCAGACACCTTCACACTAAAAGACTCTCTCCTAAACAGAGCTGCGATCGACGCCATCGATAAATTTATTAAATATATAGTTAATAACTTAAAATTGTTCAATAAAACTTAAATGTAACCAATAAATTTCTCCCATTGTAAAAAGTTAAAATCCCTAACTGTAATAACCTCACAGCAAGCAACTTAGCATTGTATAACCTTATATATATATGTAAATACTTTGTTTGTATAAATATAAGAAAATTATGTATTAATGTCACAAATTGGATTGTATAATAAAGCTCTCAATTATATAAATATAGAATGTAAGTTAAACAATGTTAATGTATAGCTTGTAGACACTAAGGAAAACTTGATTTGTATAGCGACTCTAATTCTAAGAAACCACATTTTGTAAATACCCAGTGTAAAAGGAACTTTGTGGAAAGACTGTATCCAATAGCAGC